AACTGATGTGAACTGACAGGATGCTCAAGGAGTAACAGATAGCAGGCCGTGTGGCGACTCAAACTGAAATGACGTCATTTGTGGTATTGCATGACACTGGAGTCAGAATCGCAAACGACCATGCCGGGCATGGCTTTTAAATATTTTTTTAGAATTGGTTGGCGGAAAGGAACGTTTTTTGGCACCGTGTTATTTTATGAAATGGCTGTTTTTTTCTGTTGCGAAAGGCGCTTGAGTAAATCGGGAGGATAAAACATTACTTTTGCGGAGCTGCACTCAAAGAAGTGGCCACCGGCAGCTGCTACGGCTGCACAAAGCCACTTTACTCTGAATTTGACTGCTCATAACTGTATGTGAATATCACCTTGCATGTATTCATTGATTTATTGTGTAGTTATATAACATTTTAGTCGTATTGTCTTGAATATTACCTTATCAAGATAAATTTTTGTTTTAGCTAAATTTCTACTAAGTTACATAAGCTGGTCAGCACATTTGCGAGCGGTGTTATGCTATTGTTTCGATAAAGGCATGTGCCGAAATATCAACCCAACTATACCTCTATCCTGGTTTTTCTCCGAAGAATAAGGCTGTTACTACTGTCCACTTTCAATTTCTACTTAATCAAGCTCCACAGCCCTCTCTATTCTCTCGCTCGCCCTCACCCTCGCGCATGCCCCATTGAAGTCAGGTGCGTTTGTCCTGGTTATCACCTGTATGGCAGGGCACCAGTGACGGAGAACCACGGAGAACAGCGACGGTCCAATCGCGCCATCTAGTGGCAAAAATCAGAACTTCATTCTCAAAGCTGCTGCGATTCGTAACCCCTGGCAGCACAAGCTGGCTCGGACAAGTGGTGTGACCCAGGCTCCCAGTCTTCCACCACGCCGGCCAGCATGAGGAAATGTACGAATACTGGGGCTCGAATACAAGGACAACACGACAAAATGCAGTGAGGTTTAGTGTTCACCGCCCTCCCCATGCTCCACCAAGTTTGTCCACAATTTCGCAACCGGGGACGGGGTCAGTGCTGCAGCCTGGAGGCCACAAATCTCACATTCTGCGGCCCCGTGAAATCACGAAAGCTTGAGTTGGCCACGTCAAATTGAAAAACCACGAATTCTTTGTTTCCGTTTCCATTGTTGAGCTTTAACCAGGGATATAGCTTCCTATTCAGATGAGAGGACTCAACCCCCCCCCCCAAACTGTGAGAAGAAAGTGGGTCACTTCCGGGGAGAGACCCGTGTGTTGACTAGTTTGTGCAGCTTCCATCATTTTATACCGCTCAGTCTCCCCATCTCCATTTCGCGAAACTACGTCCCTGGCTTTACCATAGGAAAAGTCCGATCCATTCACCACAGTTTCGAAACCAGTGCTTTACCAAATTGCTCCGGTTTATGAAGAAAAAAATGACACGTCGCTTAGCTTACACCAGCTGGCAAGTTTAACGTGCTTTTCAAGTTTTTATACTTTCTATATGGTCATGTGTGATCAGATGAACGGCATTTCAAAATTTGCCTAATCTCATGCTGAGAACTTAAAACCCCTAAGCAAAGTCTTGAACACCAGGATTGCGCAAATACGAGCCCATGAATGTGAGTCCTTTCACCAAAACGACGAAACAAATAGTTCAGTAGGATGTCTCGAAAATCAAAACGAACGCGCCACAGCTGGCGTAGATGCCATCACATTCTTGACGTCATCTGCGTAAGAAACAGCCCATCGATTTCGGGCAGCCATAATTTGCTTGACGGCGCCAGTCAAACTTCTCCGAACACTGTTGAAGTGATAGGTGTTCTTGTGAAGCATCGGGTTTAGACTGAACTGACTATTCCGAGTCGGAAATGCTGGAGCTGGAGTGCGGAGTTGAGGCTCGAGTTGGGCGGTCACGTCCGCGGCGAAAAGTCACTGATTTTCCCTTTACGTAGGTATCATAGTACCGAAGACGTTATAGATTTACCCACCTGAATTACGTAAGTTGCTAAGTGCATTTGCGAGAAACATTATGCATATGATGAGGCGGTGGTAATAGCCTTATTCCTCGTAGAAAACCAAGAGAGTGGAGATATAGATGCGTTGATATTTCGATGAAGGCATGTTGCCGAAATATCCACGCGCATTTGTTGCCATTCTCTTGTTCTTTTCTGCAAGAAATAGGGGCATTACTACTGCCTCATCTATTTACCCTTCTGCCTTAAGACCAACCACGTAACAACTAAAAGATACCGCGTATTACAGTTTATTTGTTGTCCCGATCCAGGGGTTCTCTGGTCAAAAACCGGTAGCTGTTTGCAGACTGGCTTAACATATTCATTAGTTACAATGAGAAATACGTGAAAATACATGCAAGGGATCTGCAGGATTTTATTCATTTCGTTTATTTTCTTTTGTCGCCAACAGAGCAGCACTCCACCACCAAGCGAAATCACTTGAATGAAAGACAATAAATACAAAGCGCACAGTAGTATGAACATAATGAGCAGATAAAATCTAAAAGATGACTGAGGAAACTACCGAGTTCAAACATACAGTCGATCACTTGACCCCCAAAAATAGCGAAACTGTCATGCAAGTATCCGCACTATTGTCGCTCGCTAAGAGTGTCCCCAATGCCTGGCAGCCTCCAAAACAGACCGCTCTGTACTGTTTACACACGAGCGCGAGGTACAGCGAGCGGAGTTCGGGTGCGGGGTTCGGTTCGGGTCGGTTGATCGAGGCAGCACAAGCAAGGGGAAACAGCTGAGCAAGATTTGAGTCTAGTTTACCTTGGAAGAGGTTTCTCAGAAAGAGTAAGTCGTGTTGCACTCTTCGTGCTGCCCAGGATGGGGTTTTGAAACGAATCCGTGCTGCTCAGGATGGGGTTTTGAAATGAATTCGTGCTGCTCAGGATGGGGTTTCGAAATGAATTCGTGCTGCTCAGGATGGAGTTTTGAAATGAAGCAGAAGGCTGTCATAAGGAAGAGAAGCTATTTGCCCGGAGAATGCTTGAGTAAGTAATCAAACAAGACACCTGTGCTGCACTCGACCGAGCCGCTCTATGTGGGAATTGCTCCCCCCCCCCTCGTCCAGACCACGCTGCGGTTTTCTAAACCGATCGCGCATTTGCACACACGGAGCCATCCCAGCGCTTCGGTTGAATTTTGACCAGCCGGTACCGACTTGGAAAGAAAGTGCTCGACTGCCCCTACTTACTATGTCAGAGACATATGCAGCGAAGTTTAGTATGGTATCCAGCGTTATATCAAGGTCCCTGGCTTTACTCACATTTTCAAGGTCCCTGATTTTACTCACATGCAAGACACCGGCCGGCCAGCTGTCCGGTAGTGCGGCAGGCCCTGTTACAGCTTCAGGCCATTCATTCCTGGGGTCGTCAGCGGACACCGGTGCAGACAGCCACGCGGCTTCGCTGTCCGCTGACGCCCCTAAGAGAGACCTGAGGCTGTACCAGAACCTGCTGTACTACCGTACGGTGGGCAGCCCTGCGCTGGGTGTAACGCTAGCAGTCATGTGCATTGATACTTGGCCAAGTTGAGGTCCGAGATGGTCGTGTTCTGTCTGGTTTTGGATGACGTCGGCTTGATGAAACAAACAGCCATCGCTTAGAAGCTGTTGCCTATGCCGGCGGCGAAATATGCTGAAGATGTGGCGTCATTCATCAGTTAGAAAATGGAACTGTTGGATCCAGTAAATGAGTCGTCTTGCGCTGCAATTCTAGCTTATTCAAACGGGAAGAAGCTCGTGGCTTAACAAGCCAATAAATTGATGTGAAGCCCGAAACGGACATCCGTTTCATCGCGATTTTAAGAGGCGTGTAAAAGTTACACATGACGGTGCAGAGAGGGGTGTGTCAATGGGTGATATCTTTGCAGGTGTGGTTGCCTCATGACAAGGCTCAGAAGGTGGAAGCCCACCAGAAGCTTAGCATCCTCATAAGCGACGTGCACTGTACACACTTTGCTGCTTAGTGACGTAAAATTAAAGGTATATCGACGTGAGATGCGTGACGTAAGACTTCCGTGTCGTGCTGAAGGGGAAGAGGTGACGACTGCCAAGGTCACCTACCTTGGGATCTCCTTTGGTGGTGAGGACTACTGTCGGCTACTCCTCCCCTATGACATCCCTGACGCTGGTTTCGCGGGTCTCAACTCACATCAAATACTGGCTTCGAAAATACTCGAAGCTCACATGCCACTCCATCGTCGAAGAACCACACACGCATCCCATGACGTGGCCTTCTGCTGACATACACATCGATCGTGCTGCGCATCATGTCTCATTGGCCTCCATGACGTATGTGGATTACACGCAGGAGATAATGACAGCGACCGCTTGGATCGCTCCAGCAGCCGGCTGTCGCGCTGCCGTCTAGTAGCGAATAGCTGAACTTCACGTTGACCTCCCACCCGATGCGTAGGTGCGTGCGCTCGGACGGGGGCAGGACAGCGTTTCCCATTACCACGTTCGCAAGCAGCAACCTATGACGTCATAGATAGGTGCGCCGCAACAGCTCCTACGGCTCGTTCGATAGCACCTTGCGTATAACGTAGCCACTTGTGACGTCATAGGTAGCAGCTCAGATAAGTACTTTGCATATGGGGAGCTCGGCATAGGTGGCGCACTAGGTGGACAACTCATGGCTGCTGCAGGTTCCTTTGCCCCGGCCAATAAAAGGGGCGTAGCGATGATGTGGTATGAAGTGAGAATGAAGAGCGGATGTCTGAAATTGGCTGCATCGACTGACTGGTTGGCGCGAAGAACGGTACAGCGCTGGTACAGCAGCAGGTACATATTTGCAATCTGTGGGTTTTTGTGAACGTTTCACGAGAACGTCGGATCGCACCTCCGTACCCACCAGGCGACCTTCCCGGGGGGGGGGAGGGGGGGAGGGGGGGGGGCGTCTTCCCCGGGACGGGAGTGTTTGTCTCGCCTCGGCAACAGACTCTGACGTCACAGTCGTACGGCTGCACTCGGCTGGAGGCTGGGCTAGGAACAATATGGGATAAAAAGCTGCCGCTTTATTTGCACTGAGAGCTTAAAGGTTGACACTCGCATGAGGTGTGCAGTACTTCGTGACACATATTACTCCAGAAATGAGCGGTTACTTGATGGCACCTCTGTATCATTGGCAGAATTATATGTTTTTCTTGTTGCGTTGCAACACATACAACGAAATAGTCACATGAGAACAATACCAAGCAGTTCCAATTCCCAGGCAGTTCCACAGCCGCTCATTGCCTTGACTTAAACCACCACCTGCCCGCCAATGTCGATCTCTATGACCTCTTACACACACCGGGCATGGACCTACAGTGTTAATGAACCTACAATGTTGATGAATTCAGGCCATAGAGCCATCATGGGGAATGACCAGGGCTGACCAATTGGCCAAAAAAGCTCTCTCAGCCATACAAACAACGCACACCTCTTTTGATTACACATCTATAGTCTTCTATTCGCACACTGACAAAGCGTGTTTGGGTACGACATTGGACGAACACCACTGGGACACAACCTCGTGACATTAATCCTGACATCACGCCCTGGCCATCTCGACGCCGAAAAGACCGCTTGGAGAATGCGTGCGCTCGCCTCAGAATCGGAGACATTGCACCCACCCACAGCCACCTATTCGCGCCGCCCCCATTTACACTGCCAGCCATTTGCTCATCCAGCTCAAATATATTATTAATGAGTGCAACCCATTTCAGCAAAACATGCGGGCATGACGGCTTTCCGCCGTCGGCACATCATCGAATGCTGCCCAAAAGTCGTCACTGGTATGTTTCGAACCAGCCAGTTGACAACGCAGGTTCTGAGGTACAAGTTTGCACACTGGTGTTTTTCGGCACGCGGACCCGGGTTGTCAGCTGAAGGCAAGTGTCATGACAATTATTGGTACTTCTCTCTTCGTCTGCGAAGATCCCTGCATGACACAGGAGTCTGATGTCACGTGCAGAGCGCACAGTGAGGCAGCAGCCTAACGTCACGTGCAGAACACACAGTGGGGCAGCAGCCTAACGTCACGTGCAGAACACACAGTGGGGCAGCAGCCTAACGTCACGTGCAGAACACACAGTGGAGCAGCAGCCTAACGTCACGTGCAGAACACACAGTGGAGCAGCAGCCTAACGTCACGTGCAGAACACACAGTGGAGCAGCAGCCTAACGTCACGTGCAGAGCGCACAGTGAGGCAGCAGCCTAACGTCACGTGCAGAACACACAGTGGAGCAGCAGCCTAACGTCACGTGCAGAACACACAGTGGAGCAGCAGCCTAACGTCACGTGCAGAACACACAGTGGGGCAGCAGCCTAACGTCACCTGCAGAACACACAGTGGAGCAGCAGCCTAACGTCACGTGCAGAACACACAGTGGAGCAGCAGCCTAACGTCACGTGCAGAACACACAGTGAGGCAGCAGCCTAACGTCACGTGCAGAACACACAGTGGAACAACAGCCTAACGTCACGTGCAGAACACACAGTGGAACAACAGCCTAACGTCACGTGCAGAGCACACAGTGGGGCAGTAGCACGCCGTTGGGGTCCAGAAACGTGGCATTGATACCGCCCACACGCAGCTCGGTCACAATTTCGTGCTCCAGCTCAGCAAACCCGTCCGCCAGGATCATGTCGCCGCCTGCGGGCGGGAACACGGCACTGCAGTGAGTACACGTCACTGGCGGATACGTGACAGTGGTGAAAACATGCCACTGACGAGCGAGCGACTGATGGAAGAGTATTACTGGCTGGTGGCACTGGTAAGACAAATCACTGGTCGATGCATGCCAGTGCGAGCGTTAACCGGTGGACAAGATCAATATGTGATGATCATACATCACTGTTAGGTCACAACATGATTGGACACGGAGTAGCCGTGAGCACGAGTTAATGCTGAACACGAGTTAATGCTGAGCATGTGTTCATGCCGCAGCACGTACAGCTGACCAAGGCCATTTCTGCACGCTCAAGCGCAGGTCTTAAGGTCGGGACTATCGCACAACAGTCCATCTATGAATACGAATCACACTAGATATCTCTGCTGAATGCGCCCCAGATTACCTCTGCAAGTAAAAACCAGCGATGCTGATGGTAAATGTACGACTGGTAAGTGCTCCCCAAGAGTACATCAAAAGTTCTACACCTATAGTATTTAAGGGATCAGAGATACTTGGCACTCTGACGACGCACTTGCTCTGACCTGCGAGGAAGGCTCCGAAGAAGCCGTAGGTGCCGTAGTCGAACACGGTGTGGTTGCAGGCGGCCAGCAGAGCCAGGTCCCGTCCAGGACCGGGGGTCTCGGTGCGGCTGTCACCGAGCACGTATACGTCGTCGGCCTGCAGGTGCTCCCTGAGAGGAGCAGCCGCGTGCGCGTGAGTGATCTGACTCTTGCCTATCTTGTCTTGCTTATCTCACTTATTTCTTTTTGTTTTTTATCACGGTCATTGACTCACCGGGACCGGCACCGGCACCGGGACCAAAGCGTCACGGCGTGTGAACATCTGTTTGAGAGTTCAGGGATTGGGCAACAGCTTGAAAGGACCATTCTGATTTACAACGTCAGCTCACCACCTGTCACAGCGAAAAGCTTACAAAAAGCAAACCCCAAAACGGCATACTTGCACCAGACCAGGTCGTTGCTTACCTCAGTTGACATTTTGCCAGAAGTTCCTGCACGATAATAGATCATCACCAGTCTCGGTGGCCATCTCACCTGCCCCGGATCAGGTCATCACTCGTCTCAGAGGTCACGTCACTTGCCCTAGGACAGGTCATCTGTCGCCTCACTGAACAGTTGTTTGCACCAGGACTAGTCACCACTCATCAGTGAACAGTTGTTTGCACCAGGACTAGTCACCACTCATCACTGAACAGTTGTTTGCACCAGGACTAGTCACCACTCATCAGTGAACAGCTCACCTGCACCAGGACAGGTCATTTGTCGCCTCACTGAACAGTTGTTTGCACCAGGACTAGTCGCCACTCATCAGTGAACAGTTGTTTGCACCAGGACTAGTCACCACTCATCAGTGAACAGTTGTTTGCACCAGGACTAGTCACCACTCATCAGTGAACAGTTGTTTGCACCAGGACTAGTCACCACTCAGCCATGAATAGTTGTTTGCGTCAGGACTAGTCACCACTCATCAGTGAACAGTTGTTTGCACCAGCACTAGTCACCACTCATCAATAAACAGTCGTTTGCACCAGGACTAGTCACCACTCATCAGTGAACAGCGATTTGCACCAGGACTAGTCACCACTCATCAGTGAACAGCTCACCTGCACCACATCATGCCATCACTCATCAGTGAACAGCTCACCTGCACCATGACAGGTCATCACTAGTCAAGATGAATAGTGGGTTCTTGTATCGCTGCCGACACAGCTCCATAGCAGCTGTGTAGAATGACACGCTTACTGGTTTGCCACGGAACACACTCTGCAATAGAAGATGGGTGTCTACTCTTGTTTCCAAAGGACACGGTTACCTGTTTAATGGAATACCCAACTTAACTCAGCACTGGCGAAGCGTTAAGCTGCGTTTCAAGCGCATGCGGTTGTGTGATTACACGCAGCTGTGGATATGGGGCCCTAGTTCATGGTAGGTTGCATTCACTGCAGCCTGAACAAATCCATGACTGTCATTTAAAATGACGAAACAATTATGTCCCATACGTCGCCTAAGTCCGGAAGTAGGCTAAACCAGGCCAGACCAAATGATTGATGTCGACATTAAACACAGACTGAAGAAGGGTGTGGTCGTGATGTAATACACCTTCGCTTCAGTTTTACGGAAGATCGGATTGTCGCCTCCGTCTGGTACGTTAATGTTTGCACAACGTTTTGGCTAGTACGCTGTCCGCCTGTAGCCAGGTGTTGTCGAGTCTGGAGAGGGAGTATGATGGAGCCTGGAGAAGGAGTATGTGGAGTCTGGAGAAGGAGTATGATGGAGCCTGGAGAAGGAGTATGATGGTGTCTGGAAAAGGAGTATGATGGAGCCTGGAGAAGGAGTATGATGGAGTCTGGAGAAGGAGTATGATGGAGTCTGGAGAAGGATTATGATGGAGTCTGGAGAAGGAGTATGATGGAGCCTGGAGAAGGAGTATGATGGAGCCTGGAGAAGGAGTATGATGGAGCCTGGAGAAGGAGTAGATGATGTTTGGCTATCAGCGTCGCACGCGTCACAACCGGAATTTCTATGGAGCTTCTGGAATTTGAACCGGGACCTCTGATTGCGAATTCATTGCTCTACCAACTGACCTAACAGGAAAAGAATTGCTGGGATTTCAGCCATGGCGTTCTGATTGCACGTTCAGTGCTGTACCAACTGGCATTGCCCTTCTCGGTTAGTTCAGTTGGTAGAGCACTGGACTCGCGATCAGAGGAATATTGTTAAATCCCAACAATGCCATGCAGAGAATTCGGCCTGTGGCACGCACATAGCTAAAAGCCAAACAACCTCAAAAGTTGAGACTTTTCTGGACTCAGTAACACCTGACGAAGACAAAATATTTTACTGGCCGAAACGTTGTGTAAATACCAACGCGCAAGACAAAGATGAAAATCAGAGCGTTATTTCATCCGCGAAACATTTGTTAAAGATCACGATGTCGCTCGATCAAGATGTTTATACGATGTGTACCATAACGATGATGATGCCTGTACTATACCCAAGAGCTGTATGGTATGATGGATATGATATGATGGTATGGTATGATCTTTATAAAAATGAAGGCAATTTTTCAATGGCTGGTGCATCTGTGCGTTCCTTCGTATCCTCGTTATGAAGCCATTGTTTCAGCTGTCAGGTTACTTTAGATGACATTGTTCACTTGAGACAAACACATGAAAGTTCTCCCGTGGGGAATGGAACATCTGAACATCTGAACACCCGTTCTGCGGAAAATCAAACACCTGAACAAGGAAATCAAACACCTTTTGCGGGAAACCAAACACCTGGTCTTCTGAAGCGACAGCAAGCGCTCTCACCAGCGATCCACTCAGCGACCAATCAGCTCTGAGACCGAGCCCAGCAAGCAACGGCGACGTTATCAGACTGTTGACGCACGTGACGACGCGGGGTCGGCGCAGCCGGTGTGCTTCACGTCAATATCTGCTCGGGTGGCCCAGATTTACCGTCCGTCCGGAAAACAGAGTCCCAAAGCAATCAATTCTGCACAAGTGTGCACAAGTCGTGCGCGAGCACATGTGCCAGCCGCATGAATCGATTCGCACGTTTGCAAGAGCGATTTTTCACTCTTTGCCGAGTCGAAATGTGCTGATGCCTTTCCCCATCATTGCGCTGGTGCCAGGCTTCAAACCGGGTTTCGACACAGGTTTCGGCAGTTTTTGGCGAGTTGCCAATTTGACCTTTTTGACAAGAAACTTTCAACGTGAAACAATGTGGACCTCCTTTTACCTCTACCTCCTGGTACAAGAAATGCCGACTTGTTCAGCCAGGAACTTCAAATTCATAATGCCTGGTGTTGGAGGGCCCTGGGGCCTTGAACTGCTAGATGTGATTATGCAAACCCTATGTAAAGCATATATAGATCCACTCAAGATTACTGAACCAACGGCACCTCTCAAGGAATATACCAGCAATCAATCTAGGTTAGTCCGGTTAACACCTCATACAATTTTTTTAAAAACAGTAGTAATGGCTTAATGAATTCGACTACCGTGGTATTGTGCCAAGTTGCATGTTGAGGTGAATGGGAAGCTACGTTTTGGTGAGTGAAGCTTTTTCGGTGATTACACTGACGTATAGTATGTTTGCGATATTTTGTTACCTCCTAATATCGTCGTTCTTCGAACGGCGGTGTCAGCTTGCGGAAAACAGGTACTTGTAGCCAAGAGCAGAATATCAGAATACGTGCCACCTGCCCTTTAAAGGCGGGATGTTTCCTGTTTGTAAAGCTGACGAAAAAGTTATGCAAAACATTGTTAATCATAGTTGCCAAAAAAAAAATTCAAGCACACCAACCTAAAAAATAGGAAAATAGGTACTTGTGGCCAAGAGCAGAACATCAGAATACGTGCCACCTGCCCTTTAAAGGCGTGATGTTTCCTGTTTGTAAAGCTGAAGAAAAAGTTATGCGAAACATTGTTAATCATAGTTGCCAAAAAAAAATTCAAGCACACCAACCTTAACATATATAACCAGAGTCCATCCATTCCTCTTTGATCATGCAAAAAACCCTTCATATGATTTGGCTCCACTCAAAAGAAAACAACGCCATACATCACTAATAATGCAACATAGGGGACTGTGTGCTGCTCTCCAATAGCGGATGTATTGGCCGCACAGCGACACTTTCCAGACGTATGACCATGCACCTACAAAACGGCGGCCCACGCACACACGCGAAGACCCAACGCAAAACCCGCCTGACACGCCAGATGCTCAACAACACCACACAAGTCCCGCACACTCCACACAGAGACGAAGGCCCATCGCTCTAAAAGCAATACGCATGCGCGAATGGGACCCTCTAATTAAAGTGAGTATCACACATTTGTATGGAGTTTTGAACAGAAATAACCATATTGAAGACCTTTTGATGCGGCTCGCGGCCATGCTCTTTTTTGACCTAAAAACCTCCGGTTCCTGAGCTAGAAGGCTGCAAAGATGTGGGAGAGTAATTGTGGGGGAGTATTTCAAGGGCACCTTGGCATTCATGAGTGATGATAGGGTAATGCAAATCCTGACATTCTATAATCCATGCGGCCATAAGGCCCAGAAAAACATAATGTTTGAGTTGTTAACATCTGGCATTTGTGGGCACGACTTCCAGAGATAACAGCCGTCAATTGGCTCTCAGTCAATATTGTGCAAGGTGCGATGACGTAGACTAAAAATGACATCGAGGAGCATATTTACTCAACGGAGGACTTGTGTTGTCTAGAACAGTGTATTCTATTAAAAAGTTTATCAATAGTTATGAGTGAGCTTGTTTCATCATATCTGGTCCCTGCTTCAATATCTTCAAACTTGAAGCATCCTCTTTAAAAACCAACAAATGCGCGTGGAACTCTCCATCTGTATAGAGGGTCACCATTAGGGTGGAGAACGCAGGGACATTGAGCTTTTTGCGTATCGCGGATGGGCGTTGTTACCTATCAGTGATGAGTATATGTGATGCGGAAATGCTTATGCCTGTATGGTGATATGTATTTGTCTGCATATCACATGTATGTCTGTATCGAGATATACAGTATGTTTGCGCTTTACCGGAATGACGAAAAACTGACGTGTGTAAACATGAGATTCATGAAATAATGCTCACGAGAGAGCATGAACTGTATGAATACGCGATTATATTAACTTTGTCTAAAATCGCCAGTCTAGAAAATATCCAATGAATGATGAAACATGGAGAGTGCACTCAATACCAGGACATGCAATATGATAATCCACATCTTCTTTGTATCATGAACTATGGCGCGATTTTAAACGAACATCAATAAAAAGCGAAAGCTGTCATCAGGTTTATTAGGAAAACATAACAAATCCTAAATGCGGAGTGAGCTGTGATTATATATGTATATATATATATATATATATATATATATATATATATATATATATATAAATCCGCTCTGTCTCATGACGCACTGGATGTAACAAAGGAATGCTTGACAATATTTCGGAATCTTGATCATTTTGCATTTCTTGTGATAGCTTGCTGGGGGTGCCTGTCAATGAAAAGTTAGCGTCCCTGTCAACAAAAAGTGGTGTTTTTTAGATGAAAGAGATGAAAGCGAATAATCTAGCAGTTGATGTCTCTCTGAAACCGGGCGGGAATGCAGCTATTCAGGATCGTTTCATGATCATCAACTGCCCCTGCTACAAATAAGATCAAGTTGTGATAGCCATATAATTACCTTGCCTTCTTCATCCAGACCATCTAAGCTTCAGCAATCAGCGTCACAAATGACGCCCAGTTCTACATTCTACAAAGAATCTCCTTTGAATAACAGCAGCTGTCTACCAACTCTAAGCCAGGAGAAAATATGTACAGCCCCATAAATAATGGGGACCGATAAATAGATCAATAGGCCTATATCCACCAAGTCGTGTACTATATATATATATTGCAAAAATCACAACGCGCATGCGCCCTGTCGGTGAGGCTGGCAGCGCTCAGTGCAGCAGGCGCTGGCTGGTCCCCCGAACTCTTATGCCGTGCTGTCTAGATGGAAATACACCGTGCTTGCATCGGCTGCTTCCCACACCACCGTGTCGTCTTCCAGTACGGTTTTGACAGGTTTGGTCCGAGCCATTTCATTGGATGAGTTTGTCAGGGGCGAGCGCTATGCAATGCCTTTCGCGCCAGTCCTCACTGCACCATCTGACCGTGAGATTTCGCAAGAGCCTTGAGGCGAAGCCCCAATACGCGCTAAGGCCCGGCCTGCTCTCCGGTGTCAGTTGACTTCTAGCGGCAACGATGTTTACCTTGAGGTGGGAGGCGTAGTCGGTCCTGCGGACGTGCACACCGACGAATGTCAGCCCTGTTCGGCCACGGCTCACGTTCAGCAGCTGTAGCTGCGCGTCCCGAGATAGATCCGGCCTGGCGTAGGGAGATAGAGAGGTTAAGCACACAGCGCTTATGGACCGCAGGGCCCCGGTTCGAGGCCAGGGAAATGCTGGATTTATTGTGGCCGGTGCAGCAGCCGATCGGAGTGATGTTCGGTTAACACAGGCGGCCAGGTAGATTGGGTGCACAGCTCCAAGAGAGATGAAAGTGTGGAAAAGTACGGTGATACATTCCATCTCATTCTACCACCACAAACTGCCTCTTCCGGACGTTGCACCTCCTCTCCAGCTGCCTGAGGCAAGAGCCTCCCGACGTCATGACCCTCGACCCTGGCCCTCACCTGATGGCGAACTCGTCGCACAGCTGGTGCCGATAGCGCCAGAAGAGCCGCGCGTGGTGCGGGTAGTATTTGATGTACCAGCTGTGCGCGCGCCGCTCCTCGTCGCTGAGCTTCTCGAACTGGCTCGCCAGGATCGGCGAGTGCTGCTCGGCACACGCGTCACTCACCACAGGGAGTGTCGTGTTGGGAGACACGTGACGTATGAAGCGCAGCAAGGACGGCGTGGCCACCGCCGTCATGTTGTACCTGGTGGAGGTGGCGGAGGTCGCATCGTGTCATGACAGGTCATGGCAGGTCACGACATGTCACAGCATGTCACGGCGAGTAACGGAACGTCGTGGAACGTCTCGAGAAGCTACGGTAAGGTACGGGAATGTCACAGTACGTCACGGAAAATATTTAGCTCAGGAAGTCATTAGCTCAGGAAGATACACAGCTCGACATGAGGGCTGTCCACCGGGGACCCGCCCCGTCGTCGTGACTCCTCGCCTGAGTCCCAGGGCGTAGATGGTGACTCCTCACCTGAGTCCCAGGGCGTAGATGGTGACTCCTCACCTGAGTCCCAGGGCGTAGATGGTGGCTCCTCACCTGAGTCCCAGGGCGTAGATGGTGACTCCTCACCTGAGTCCCAGGGTGTAGATGGTGACTCCTCACCTGAGTCCCAGGGCGTAGATGGTGACTCCTCACCTGAGTCCCAGGGCGTAGATGGTGGCTCCTCACCTGAGTCCCAGGGCGTAGATGGTGGCTCCTCACCTGAGTCCCAGGGCGTAGATGGTGACTCCTCACCTGAGTCCCAGGGCGTAGATGGTGACTCCTCACCTGAGTCCCAGGGCGTAGATGGTGACTCCTCACCTGAGTCCCAGGGCGTAGATGGTGGCATACTCCGCCAGGTTGTTGCCCAGCCGTCCGCCCGAGTGGGACGAGATCACCGGCGCAGCCGGACACTCCTGCCTGACGAGCGGGGTCGTCACGGCACCGTGACCTGAGCTCGGACTGCCCGTTGGCGACCTGGGTCACGGAAGAATAGCGGGGATGTGAGCGACACTCTCGATGTACTGTTT